TGCATGCATACATACGTACGTACGTACATACGTACATCTATACATTTACATAAATATGCACAAACGCAAAAGCCTACATCCTTCTGTGGCCCAACGTGTTTCCCGCAACTTGGACACTCAATGTACACACTAACCAATACTCCCGAACAAACACACAAATACTTACTAAAAGCCAATAAGGCAAACATACCCTTAGAAACTCTAAATTCTAAACCCTTTTTTGGGGAGAGACTGCTGTGCCTGCTCGCGGTTGTCCAGCTCCTTGGTGTGCCTGCTGCCCTTGCCCTAAACCCTAAGACTCGAACCCTTAAACGTAAAACCTTACATGTAAAACAGGGAGCTTGGAAGAAGTAGGAGAGTCGCCCCTCCCGTAGCACGGCCTCCGCGCAGGGATCTGATCTCTAAAAAATATGAATCCCTTCGGGGATCCGGTATGATTACTTGTGCTTAAGGCTTAGGGCTAAGAACTACGCGCCCACATTGGGTGGCATCAGATGGTGCAATTCGTGAGAAACGACTAAGTGTTCGAAGCCCTCCCCATAGAAACACCCTGCCTCTAATTGACACCTTTTGCAGGGTACATCTACTACAATATTACAACTAGAGAGTGGTTGTCCCGAAAGCGTTTTGAAGCAGCGACTAAGACCTTGTAAAACCTTTAAGTTTAGTAAAACGAAACCTCACCAAGACGACAGGAGGACACGACTCATCTCAGACATCACATCAGACATCACCCCCGACCGCATCTCACGGCCGGAATTCACGCACATCTGCCATGTTAAGTCCAAGCAGGCAAGCCAAGACATGCAGGCACATGCATTTTCCTGCGCAACACTTCCCAACCCAGTTGTTGCTTCCAACACTTGTCTCCACCCAAGTGCTTTTGCCAAGACTCGACTGCCCTTCCCCGCCTCCGAGAAGTGGATCCCGTGCAAAACTTTTTTTCTTGGCGGTCAGGGGTACAGCGAGAGGGTCGTCGATCCGTGAGACAGCGCTCCCAAGCGCCGAAAACAGCGAGAAGGTCGTCATTCGAGCCGAGAATTTCAAGGAAGCTCCGCGCGACAGCACGCCCGCCGAAAACAGCGAGAGGGTCGTCACTGTCGCAGAGAATTTCACGGATGCTCCACGCGCCAGCGCTCCCACACGCTGAAAAGAACGAGCGGGTGGTCGATTCCAAGCTGATTTCTGAGGACACTCCATGCGCCAGCGCTCCCACCCAATACGTCGATTCCGAACAGCACTCTGAGGACGCTCCACGCGTCAGCGCTCCCGCCAAGATGGACTAAGCCCAGCCAACCCCCTAAGCCCAGCGAACCCCCTCCATGAATGCTGGAACAGACAGCAACAAACACGTCTGAAGTGAGGCTTGCCTCCGCTACTCCCTCGACCCTAAACCCCACGTGTCGACTACATGCCATGACCTATTCTTGTGCTCCGCGTCCCGCCAGCCGAGGCGGGCGCGCGATAGCGTTTATAAGTAAATTCTATGAGGGAAACCATCCGGAAGACCTTCCATGTGACCAGTGGACCATCTCTGCATCCGATACCTCACGCCATGCTTTCCATAGCGCCATCACGACATCCATCCACTCATCAACGATAACGCAAAGATGATAGCGACAACCTTAACGGAAACGACCTCCGCTGAGAAACCCTTTGCCATGCTTTTGTGAAAAATCTCTCAAAGAAATCATATTTCCTCACCTCTAGGTATGAGCTCGCCGCATTCGAGAGGATGCCCATGGGAGTCCTCCGCTCTTCCAAGGTCCTGCAAGAAGCGAGGTTAGGGCTTAGGGCTTGTAGGGTTTATTTTGGATTCAGGGACGCAATACTGTTTCAAAGCATGATCGGGATGGCTGTGCTTCGTGCCTTTTCTTGTGGCTGTTGTTGATTATCCTTGAGCTTCTTTCTAGTGCGTCAGCGGGACTGGGGAAATGGATCCCTATCCCCATATATAATTAGCACATATACCCCAAACCCTAAAACCTAAACCCCAGACTCTACCTGGACCCTGGATGTCCTACCTTTTTGGGGGTATACCCTACAAATGTATNNATGGGACATTACCCCCAAAAAGGAAGGACATCCAGGGTCCAGGTAGTACGTACCATGATTTAGTCCGTCACCTCTCCTTTAGCTTACGGCAGAGGAAAACGATTGGCAGCGGTTTTTCTTCATAGGACCCCCTAGCATAGGGCTTAGGGTTTAGGATTTAGGGGACGTGTAGGAAAGAGAACTCTAACTGGACTCTATATTGGACCTCAGGGGGCTTGTGTGTCGGGAGCCTAGTTCAGAAGTCCTATGCCATATATTCCCTAATAAGGACCCAAAGTCAGTTAGTTATAGGAGAACCACTGACTGTAGCTCATATATAGGAAGTCGATGGAATTAGCATTATCCCTTGTGGCCACTACTCGTGGGTGGGAGGCTCACTTAAGGTCTAGAGTCTACGGTGTTCTCCAGCTCTCACGAGCATGACTCAACTCCAAGCTTTCTGGATTTGCGAAGTTCTTCTGCAACTTTTAAGTAGACATTGGACGTGCTTCTTGCTTGGCCGTTGAAGAAACCGCGGATGGCCTGACGACCTTTCGGGACTATGTGAAACTACCAAAAGGACCTCGCTGTCCACGCTTAATGATCCCCTGATAAGCCTAATTTTGACAGTACCTCATGTGTTCAGATTCTGCCACTAAACACACGTGGCACAACCTAACCTTAACCTGGTAAAAGTTTTTGGTGGTAGAACTAAGTAAGATTGCAATCCTCTCCTCCAAGACTACTATGTACAACCAAAAGGGAAATATCTTAGTCTCTAAGGGGGACAAAAGTATCTCCATGCAAACCACTGCCGAAGTGTAGGCCCTAAAGGTTTAGGGTTTAGGTTACTGAGCCTATCGTCCTCAGCAAGCCCCGGAGGCCCTCGAACAGCATCGGGGAAGTCGGCGTGACAGCAGATACGTACATCCTGATCTAAGTAGGCATGCTCTGGGTACTGCCCCCACCCAGTAACACTCCATAACACCCGTCATATTAAGGGCTTTATATACCCATATTACCTTTCTTCTCCCACTGTTACTGGGTGGGGAATGTACCCAAAGCATACTATGAAACACTACTCTTATCTACAATAACAATTACCGGAAATGTTGGGACATTACCTGGCTATACATCGGTTGTGTCTCTACCTACATCTTTGTGTGCGTTCTTGGGCTTCCGAAAGCAATGCGACCCCTATATGTTTCATTGGCTGGGCACTGGCCTTTAGATGTTCTTTTTGTTTAGCCAGATTCCATCAGATTACGTAGAGCCCTTCTAGAGGAGCCTCGAAATTATTTATGTCAAGATGCGTGTCGCTTGTAAAAAATTTAAGGGTTTTGGGCCATCATCCCCCCCGATTTAAACCCAAACCCTAAATCCTAAACCCTCTAATGCGCCCGAAAGTCCGATCGAAAACTTCCGCCATCTTGGCACCATGGGCTTCTGCTGCCTTCAGGTCATCTTCTGGAACCTGCACCGGACAGCTACTTTGTCAAACCCTGGGGTTATTAACTGGGGTAGGTGACTTACTTATACAGGGTTACAATGCGGGTATGATAGGCTTAGGATTTAACAGTATAGAGCGTGATGTGCAAAGACTCGGCTCATCGCAAAGAACTTCTCTTGAGGTTGTTAGGAATGGACGTTTACCAAAACAATTGGTTGACCCGGCAGTGCTTGCAGTGCATACAGCCCTAAACCAAGCCTCCATCTTGCGCGCATGCCATGCCAGCCGCACGGGAGTCGCGTACTTCGTTCCATGATGATACTCCTCAAGCATTGCTAAGTTGCTCTTAACAGCTTACATTCAGCTACCATATAATATGTATATATGGGTTGAAGGTTCAAGTTACCATAATATGGGTTCATACTATATACTGGGGTTTCCTGATTCTAGTAACTCAACTTAGACTCGTTAACAGCAACCCAAATTGTCAAGGAACAGGGCGGAGCATGGGATCCCGGCACGCGGCAAACCCGCCCGCAAGGAATTGAATAAGCAGCCGCTTTGTTGAAACAACAAACATGAGGCGCTTTCTTCAAATCACACCTATACAATCCCTGTCATGAGGACCCCCCAGTACTCCTCTCATAATGCCCATATACCCCTCGAGGTTCGTAAAGGTCCTAATTTTGCGAAACTCATGCAGGGTAATGGAACGAACCAATACCAGTAAATAGAAATATTTCAAAAGCACACTGTTTAGGGTTCAGGGTTTTGTCAAACATCTGTTCCTTGAAGTTTAGGGATATGTACGGGCTATAAATGACAAGTTATAAGGGGCTGCCTCGGGACCATTTTGAGGAACTTCCAAGCAGTGGCATTTTGCATTCGTCGTCCCAAGACAAAGAAGCTCCCCTGCTAAACTCCACCTACAAAAGAGCTGAAGTGCTCTATGGATTTTTGTGCAGAACAAAGCTGCTGCATCAAACCATCTACCTGGTGATTGGTAGTGGATCCCGATATTATTATAGTAACACCTATACTAGTGGTCCCGATGACACGTCCCCAACTCCCTACTAAGCGCCAGGGAGTTCACGACATCCGTCAATCACGGGCACCCTCCCCTCATTTTGCAATATCAACTGGTCCAGGCAAACAGCTCAGGGGCTGCTAGGCCACTAGGCTAATTGTAGGAGCGTAGCGCACCCTCATGCTACTGCCTTTCTTGATTTGCGTTTAATGGTGGCGGCGAAATCTTATTGAAGTACTCTCCCTCCAACATCAGGCAGGAGGAAGGCTCCTCCTCTGTGATACATTGATAGCCGAAATCCTCCAAAACACGGTTTGTGGCGCTGAAAGCCTTGCTGATCAGAACAGATCCAGGGGGCTGCAGACTGGAACTGCCAAGAAAGTTCCAGCTGCAGACGATTTGACACCAATCATTCCCCAAGAATGTCTGTCCCATCCTATTTTCTCATGGTAACCTACGGGGAAATTGTGTTATCAGGATCAGCCTAGGAGGGGATCAGCAAAAGTCACCTTTCGGCGTCCTTGTGGTTGGAGGGCCTGCATTTTAGGGGGTCCCTAGATGTACATGTACATACCTCTTCGCGTCCATATTGAATGTCAGGTTGCGGGCGGGGCTGCTCAAATAATTATGACGGAAAGGATTACTGTAGTACTGACTGAAGTTGACACAGGCTCGCTTGGCCCTGGCACCTGCGCGCTTGAGGAACAGAGCCGGGTCATTACACCAGGGTTTCCCGAAATTAGGTGCTCTTCATGGGAGTCTGATTGCAGCATAGTGGGGTCCATTTCGGGCCCCCCTTGTTCACGGAAAGTGCCACATTGCGTTCAAGCAGAGACCAGGAACTGCGAAACAAAATAAATTCAAGGCTACTGCAAGCATCTAATGGCTAAATTTGCAACCCGGATGAAATCAGAATCAGGTTGCAAACGCGTCCAATACCATATACGCCCATAGGCCCTGAATTAACTTTCTGATCCTGTACCCTAGATCTTGATCCCGATGTCCCTCCAACCACTGCCAAAAAAGTCTGGACTTGAGCGGTAAGAGGCCAGCTGCGTAGAATCCACGAGAGTTCCATCCATGTCGAAGAGCACGCCCCGTAAAGCAGGTCTCAGGCGAAGTGAGCCCTCAAGTCAAATGCGCGTGTTTTCAGATGGGTTTTCCTAATCACTCCCCTCTGTTAGGCCCCCTAAGGTTCCCCTTTCATTCGCCTTAATCAACCCTAAATAAATCTGATTCATGGAGAACCTTCGGGTGGCTTGGGAACCCATTAGTGTCTCAAGACAGGTGCTCAACAGGAAACTCTAGGAGCCCCCTGAACGATTCTGTAGGGGTTCTCTGGAGGCACTCCCATGTTACTTGCCTGTTGTGCCATTCCTCCCCAAGGACATCAGCCGCACACTGCCTTGTGACATCGATAGCGGATAGTTTCGAACATTTTGGAGGAATTCATTTGTGCAGGAATGGCTGACGGCGCTTGCTTCCTGACTTGATGCCCTTCTCTGCGAACCCTAGCTGGGTGTTGCTTGCCCGACAGCTTGTTTGGAAAAAGGCTGCTTGAAGCAATGATAAGGAAAATATAAAAAGTCCAGAAAAACACCTAGCAAGACAATGTGCCTATCATAAGGCTAGGACAAATGAAAACTTGGGCGGCGAAAGGGGGACCCCATTTCTAGAATCTCCCTATATACTACACGGTTTCCAATTATGTGAAATCGCCTTGCGAAAGGTGTTGGGTTCCCGCTGCCCATCATACACGACAAGTCCTGGCGGATTAAGCTTGCTGTTGTCCAACCTGCTCATAATGGAACTGCACGGAAGGCTTGGCATGAGGGAGACGGGGTTGTCGATCTCAATTTTGTTTGAGCCCCTGAGCCCCGAACTCCAAACTGTCATGCGGAGGCCTGAAGAACTGGGTGAGTGGCTGACCTGCCGCTCTTATGTTTTGTACGTTCCGAAAGGACAAAAAACACTGTAAAATACGGTGTTTTTGCTTTATAAGGCTTATTTGGGAGGTCATGGAATTTCCCAAAAATACTTTCGTTAGTCGATGATTTTCGGGAAGATGGATGCACGAGGACCATGGACGTTATTATCTTGGCCAGCCTGGATGCTCTCGATCAGGGATGCACTAGAGACATGAACAGTATTATCTTGGCCAGCATGGATGCTCTCGATCACGGATGCACTAGAGACATGAACCTTATTATCTGGCCAGCATAGATGCTCTCGATCATGGATGCACTAGAGACTCAAGCGTTATTATCTTTGCCAGCATGGATGCCCTCGATCATGGATGCACTAGAGACTCCAGCGTTACTATCTTGGCCACATGGATGCTCTCGATCATGGACGCACTAGAGACATGAACGTTATATATATATATATCTTGGCCAGCATGGATGCTCTCGATCATGGACGCACTAGAGACATGAACGTTATTATCTGGCCAGCATGGATGCTCTCGCTCATGGATGCACTAGAGACATGGACGCAAAAAGACAAGATTCCTGTTCTGCCGCGCATCGAAATGCTGTAAATTTACAGGCTAAAGAGCCTCTCCCCAGCATTCTTGGCCAGCATGGACGCTCTCGATCATGGATGCACTACAGACATGGACGCTATTATCGTGGCCAGCATGGATGCTCTCGAACATGGATGCACTAGGACCATGAACCTTATTATCTTGGCCGGTATGGATGCTCTCGATCACAATTCACTAGGACCATGAACGTTATTCTAATGGGCCAGCATGGATGCTCTCGATCATGGATGCACTATAGACATGGACACAAAAAGACAATTTTCCTGTTCTGCCGCGCGGCCAAATACCGTAAACTACAGGCCAAAGAGCGTCTTCGCAACATAAGTTCCGGTTAAATGGGCTCAAACGTGGGGTTTTGAACTGGAAAACTACCTTTTTTTTTCCGACGATGTTTTTTGCATTTCCATACGTGCCGAAGACACATCCAAGACATGAAAATGTCCCAAAACCCACATTTTAAGCACATTGACATCCTGCTCGGGAACTTGCGCAACCAGAAAAAAATGAAATTTGGTGTCACGGCGGCGAGTCAGCCATCTGGCAAGAACTACAGTAAACATGTGAAGTTTATCAATGTGAAGTCTATTTGGGGCACCCTACGCCATGATTCTACAAGGCATCTGGGACCAGAATATGCGTATTTTTCCCCCAGTAGCCTCTGTATGACCTCTACGTCTCTCTCTCTCTCTCTCGTAGACGCAGGTTCGTCTGCACTATTTATGCCCAGTTTCCATCGTGATTTTCATTCTGTTCTGATGTGATTCTCCCGGTTCGGCAAGTATCTAGGCCCCATACCCTAGACCCGTTTTAAGCTGCCCTGAACCATTAGTGAACACGAAGCTGTGTGAAGCCGTGTGGCAGGCACTAGTGCAGAGGCCTCGTCCAGATTGCCAACAATGCCTCTCCAGCTACAGGGCTCTCAAAAAGGACAGAATGTGGATTAACGCTACTCAGGGTATAGGGCTTGACGTGTATCTGGAAGCATCCAGGCTGCTTCCGATGTAGGACTGTGGGTTCAAGGATGACCCAAATAGGGGCCTTAGGATCATTGTTCAGGGGACAACATGACAAGGATGATCTCTAGTGTGACTGAAAGCACCTTCTTGAACATACCCAAATGCCCGCAGTACAGTGGCCTCAACTCCTCAATGATTAGGACTGATGGCAGACGCTCGTGCATAATAATCAGGAACATCCAACTTGATTTCCCAGGGGCTCAGATATCTATTGGACCTTCATCCTCAACCCAAATTCAGGGGTTCAGGGTTTAGGGTTGAACGCTAGATCCCTAAACCCTAAACCCTAAACCCCTAAACCCTAAACCCTACACCCTAAATCATGACCGCCACGACCGACCTTGATCTCTTAAGCTTTAAACCTCAAAGCCCACGCCCAAGGTCCACGCAAGCCTGATCTTTCGCAGGCCATGGCGACTGCAAACAAGAAGATCGCAGAACTAACGGAGCGGCGACGCGCCAGCTTGCCCACCATGAGGGGAGAGGAAAATGCGCTAGGGTTCCATCATCCAAAGTATAGCAGTATCAATGACAACAAAAATACCAACAGTGCTAGAATGTTACTAAAACAAAACCCCAGCAATGAAAAGGCTATCTTTTACTAACATGATACACTGAAGTCCGATATGAGCCATTGTCTAAACTCCTAGTATCCCCCTTAATAACCCCCACAGTAGTCCCCTACATAATCCCCTATGTAACCCCATTTAAGGAGTTTAGAGTATAGCTCATATGG